TTGCAGTGATTCACTAAACAACTGTAGCAACAAAAGTCGTAAAATTGGGAAAAACTCATTTAATAACTGTCTCGCTTAGGAACAGAAATTTTGGGCTCAGTTATGGTCATAATTTGAGGAATACCTTTATTTCTTCACCTTTGCTGTTTTCAGCCTGACAATTTGAAGAATTAGATTCATTCAAATCAATAATTCTGACAGCAAGAAGGGGAGGGAAAGAACACATAGTTTGAAATCTGAGCAGAAATACCTGGTTGAACATGGTAGGCCAGATGATGTCTTGTGCAGAAATGGTGAATAGCTTATCTGGTGAAGCTGTTGGGTTGATTTTTCCAACTTTGACTTTAATAAAGGTCCCATTTGGGAATGTGACCCAGTTGATAATGTCAAATCCAATCTCCAAATCCCCATTTTCATTAAACTAAATTTTCTCTCCTGCTGTGTTATTAAATGAGATAGTTTTCAAATAGTGATGGAGCTAAACAGAAGCAGAGTCATAAAAGAGCCAAGGTTGACTACCCCTGGTCTATATGATGATCTGATAAAAAGCAACTGAGCCCTAACCAGAAAAGAAATTTGAGAAAGCAACTCAGAATTGACTCTCCCTTGTTTTTTGGAATGTAAAATGAATTAGAAAGCCTACTGTGTGGTAGTGATGAACATATTATTGCTAAAGTTTACAAAATATTATTGAATTTAAATCTGGAAAATGAACAAGTAAAACGTGTGACTCAGTGGGCAAGGAATTTTGAGTATAATATAACACTTGAACAATGGGAAAATATGTGGAATAAAGGATTAAAATTTACATTAAATTATAATCTAAAAGAAAACTTGTACAAGATGATGTACCATTGGTACTCAAGTTATCAAAAATGTATAAAGGTATTTCAGATGAATGTTGGAAATGTAAAAGCAAAGAGGGGGCAGTTTACTATTTATGGTGGATGTGTGATAAAGCAAGAAAATATTGGAGTAGGATTCATATGTTAATACAGAAAATTCTTAAACTAAATATAGAAAGAAAACCAGAGACTTTTCTCTTGGGGCTAATGGACACAGATCTGGGAAAAAAATATGGAACTTTGATGTTATATATGTGGACAGCAGCAAGATTACTTTACGCTCAGAAATAGAAGACTACATCAATTCCCAAACGGAGGAATGGTTAGAAAAACTGATGGAGCTAGCAGAGATGGCTAAACTGACTGTACTGATTAAAGAAAAAAAAAATACGGATAATTTTATTGCCATGTGAAAACTGCTTCTAGATTTTGTGCTTGAGGTGGAAAAAAAATGAAATTTTGATTATGGGTTTTACCAATTAGATAGATTTGGTGTTATTGAAATGGCTAGTTTATATTATTTTGTAAAAGTAAAAAGTTGAGGTTTGAAGTTGATACTCTATTGCACCAAAGGAAGTCGGAAGTCAGTGTCTTTTTCTTCTTTTTTTCTCCCTTACCTCACTTCTCTACTCCCTTTTCCCTTCCCTATCTTTCCTGCTACTTACTTTGTATTTCGATTGTATCCTATATTATAAACTAATAAAATTATGTAAATAAAAAATAAAAAAATAAAAAACAACCAGGTCAATGGAGGATTTTCTCAACAACCATGTGATTCATTCAACAACTGAAGTGTTTCACTTAATAACCATGTCAAAATGGTCGTGAAATTGAGTGTAAGTCACCTAACAACTGTCTTGTTTAGCAACAGAAATTTTGGGCCCAATTTTGGTCATAAATTGAGAACTACCTGTATAATATACGACAGTAACATTATTACCAATGCCTTGAACAATGAGATCCTGTTCAAGAAAATATATGTTTCCATATAGGCACCAATTAGTTCTATACAATAATAATATTAGTAATCTTATTGGAATATCTCTCTTTAAAATAGCCTATAGAGTATACATATCCCTTTTTAAAGAATGAGGTAATTATAGCCAGATCATTGGTTCCAGCAGAAGAATTAATAAGATTAAAAGATACTATTAACATTTCTTAAATCTTTGTTATTTTCTGTTCTTTGGAAATTTTCAGGAATTGGAAAGTAGTTATATTATTAAGAAACCTGTGGGTAATTATAAGGGAAATAAACTAATCCTTAGATAAATGCTTCAGACTTTGACTAAAACAAATGGATCATATCTGTGGAATAAGAAAAAAGTATAGGCTTATAACTAAGACTTGGAGAGAAAACAAGAACATTCAAAAGGACAAATAGAGAAGAAGAATTATTTTATCAGCTCTGAACCTACAAAAATTTAATTTTCTAATATAATAGCTGTCAAGATTGAACTGTCTACATTTTGCTGGTTTTTAAGAAGGCCATTAAATCATGGCTTCTCCTGAGGAATGTTGAAGTGAAATGGCTAAGAGAAGAAGACCCCTTGTGTCATGGTTCAGATAGACAGAGACGAATAAAGCAGAACTCCGAGGCTTGTAACTTCCTCAAAGAACATGTTTATCGGTTACAAAGTATTGGCATGGTAAAAGTGAAAACAAGTCTGAATTTCCCATTAAAAATTACCTAGTTACAAAGTATAATGTCCCACCCTCAAAATATGCAATTTACTACATTTTCCAATAGAAATGTTTGGTGGGCTTTCTAACGCAATGCCCTGTCTCTAGCCCTGGGAGTAAGAGATGACCTTGGTTCCCATAGGACAGAATATTGTTTAGACTGGTGAAGAACTGTGAATCCCCCCTCCCTCCTTTCTATGTGGCAACCTAGAACGAGACAGAGAAAGATGGCTGCAGCTAGGCTCATTGTAGAGTTGACACCTTATGTTATAAGTTCCCATTCCTCTTTATTTATAGTTGAGGTCATCTTTGAGCACCAGGTTGATTGCATTTCTAATGTAGCTATATTATGCTATTTGCCTTATTTTTACTGTGAGACAAGTTCATAATTGGGCTATATATATATAAAGAGAGTCAAATGGAGATCAGTCAGAGTTGTATTCTTCAACAATTTTTTATTTCAAAGTACAATGTCTACTCTTTTTAGTTATCCCGAACAATTATTCTAACTCCTGATAGTTGAATAATTAAACTATACATTTTTAACAACTTGGTAACCAGCACAAACTGCCAATTTACCAATCACTATGTTTGCTATTGATATTTTAGAATGCCACGTCAAGGATTATGTGATTGCTCATTACCATTTTAATCTCTATACACAAGAAGATATGTGTCAAGTGCAAAGTAAGAAAGTATATTTTTTTGACAACCAACTCAAAGTTGTGATTCAGATTGGCATACTATATATTGATGAAATATTTGAACCCAGTTAAACATAAGCTATTATATCCTTGTTTGTATCATAGCATTCAGTCCTATCTTAATCTTTAGGGATATTCATTCATTCATTCATTCATTCATTCACTCACTCACTCACTCACTCACTCACTCACTCATTCATTCATTCATTCATCCATTCATGAGTTTTTCCTGTGTCCTTGGTTCCTAGATATTTTCCAATAATAATTACCAGTCTCCTTTTAGCAGCCTAGCAAATACTCTTCTGTTGAAGCAAAGCTTAATTGGTCAACCTCTATAAACTACTGAGATCTTTGGGAATTGCAATGGATTTACTTGCATTACATTTAAGCATGATACATAGTTCACCAATCAGAAGTTTTCTCCAACTCACCCAGTAGAGGAATAATGAAAAGTTGTCAAATTTTATTTCCAAAGCCATGTCCCCTAATTTCTGTAACTTCAGTGAAACTTCTTATAATTCCAAAATCTGAGATGCTTATACCTCAGTATTTGTTCCTTTTAGTATCAATTGTTCTCAAGAAAATCAGAATTACTGTTACTTCATAGAATTTTGTAATCCTTTCCTGGTTATAGTTAGATTGGTGGGCATGCTCCAGATTTAATCTCAGTAGAGCAGAATTAGATGTCATCCAAGGCTGGCTAATAGTGACATCGTAATTAAACAAGCCACCAGTGTTGGGACAGTAGTCATCATAAATAAGAATACTTTGCCAAGGAAGCTGAGAAGCAGTTCTCCAACACAATCTTCTTCAAACACCTCTCCAAGATTCCCAGAACAACATACCTCTTAGGCTTTCATTAGTAAAGGAGGACAAGAACACATAGTCCCTTGTTTCTGGCCTACCACCTTTCCTGGTAAACCAAGGTGCACTCAAACTTTCAGAATTGTGAAAAGGGATAATGGGAGATCTTTAAGGGGAAAATAAGGCACTCATGTTATCCCTTAGCTTTTTTTTAAGCAGCATCTCAAAACACACAAAATGTTGACAGATCTTTGGCTTCACCTGTACCAGACATGCTTTAATTCCAAAAGTGATGTAAAATAAGCATTTTCTTTCTTTTTAGCAGGGATGTTGTGAAGTTCATGGGATGCAGGATTTAAACCCATTCATTTTTACATTAATGCGCATTATATCAGTAAAATATTTTTAATACAACAGAATAAAAGAATAACAGAGTAGGAAGGGACTTTGGAAATCTTTAATCCAATCACCTGCTCATATCTATACCATTTTAGATGAATGGTTGCCCAATCTCTTCTTAAAATCACCAGTGTTGCAGCACTCACAATTTCTGAAGGCAAGTCATTCCATTGATTAATTGTTCTAACTGTCAGGAAATTTATCCTTAGTTCTAGGTTGCTTTTGTCCTTGATTAGTTTCTATCCATTGTTTCTTGTCCTGCCTTCTAGTACTTTGGAAAATAAGTTGACTAACTCTTATTTGTGGCAGTCCCTAAGATATTGGTAGTCACCCCTAATCTTATTTTCATTAAACTAGATATACTCAATTCCTGCAACTGTTCTTAATATGTTTTAGCCTCCAGTCCCCTAATCATCTTTGTTGCTCTTCTCTGTATTTTTTTCTGGAATCTGAACATCTTTTTTTATTATTGCAACCAAAACCATACCTTCTTCTTGATTAGTTATTGCCTACTATACTGTTTAGGACACAAATCTTCATTCAAGGGATATTGTTAAAATCAGATTCATTTTTTCATTAATTGGTCCTTCTTATTCAGATTAGGTCTCAAAATAATGATATAGCATTTGGGGGAAAATATGCAGAGCAGTAATCCACCTGCTGAAGACAAAATGGAGAAGATCTCCACTGCCACCATGTATTTTCCCTTGGTACTCAAATAGGTGGGAACAAATGACACCCAAACACTGCAAAAGACCAACATGCTGAAGGTGATAAATTTGGCTTCATTAAAGCTATCAGGCAAATTCCTAGCTAGGAAGGCCACAGTGAAACTGACAGCAGTCAAGAATCCCAAAAAGCCAAGCACAGTATAAAACATTGTGGTTGAACCTTCATTACATTGCAGAACAATTTCTTCAGCCATGGAGTGCATGTCAGAATCTGGGAAGGGAGGATAAATTGTGAGCCATACCACACAAATGCAGAATTGTGTCAGGGAGCAAGACAGGACAATAGAGATAGCCAGCCCTTTCCCCACCCATTTCCTCATTTTGGAGCCAGGCTTGGTGGCCATGAAAGCAAGCACTACTATGATTGTTTTCCCCAATATACAAGAAACAGCTACAGAGAAGTTGATGCCAAAAACAGTTTGTCGCAAGAGACATTTGATTTGATCAGGTTGCCCAATAAAGAGCAAACTGCAAAAGAAAGAGAGGAGGAGAGCAATGAGAAGGCTATAAGTGAGATTCCTGTTATTGGCTCTAACAATAGGTGTGTCCTGATGTTTAATGAATATCCCAAGCACCACAGCTGAGATGGCAGAAAAGGAGACTGCAATCACTGCCAAAGAAATCCCCAAAGGTTCTTGATATGTTAAATAAGTTATACTTTTTTGAAGGCATTTATTCTTATTCTTGTTTGGATATTGATCCTCTGTACATGGAAAACAGCCATCTGAGTCTAAAAAAGAGACCATTCATAGAAACATTATTGTTTTGAAGCGCCTTAATTTCATTTTCAATATGACCTGATTTTACAGTATTCTGTAGACTTACTGAGCTCTTAATTTGATTATTGAATATCAAATCCCTTTATATGGTGCTGCCCTTGAAGACCATTTCAAATCTATAACTGGTCTGCAATGCAGTGGCCCATGCAGTTAACTCACTTAGATCCACTACTCCTGCATGAGGTATACTTGCTCCTAGTGGCTTACCATACCCAATTCAAGTTCTTGATCATCACCATTAAATCCCTGGATGTCACTGGGCTAAGTTGTAAGCGGGATTACCTCTCTTCATTGATATCTGTCTTTCTCAATAAGTCCTATAGGTGGTTATGCTCTAGATCTTTTGTGTTAAATGTTGTCAACTGGGAATTTGGAGTTGTATCTGGTCTGTGGTGTCCAGACCTTTCCAATATTCTCCCATCTGAATTATGAGACTTCTATATCCTTTTATCCTCTAGCAGGTTGGGAAGATCTTGCTGTTCCCCTAAAGTGTTAGGGTACGATGGGGATTGACTCAGGAAGCTGATTTGTTTGATTTTTTAAAAGTTATTATTTGTGTTTTTAATTATTGTGGTAAGCAACTAGATTTATTATATCAGATAAGCAAACTTATAAATTCCAGAATCAATCAATCAATCAATCATTTGAGTAGAATAGGAAGTAAAAAAAACTAAAAACCATGGGGAAAAAATTCCAATGGAAAATTACCTTTATTTCCAAACAGTAAGGACAAAGGTTTCTGGAAAAAGATGTTTGTAATTTTTCAAGGAAAGATAAGAAGGGATAATTCAAATCTGAGGATTCTACTGATACTCCAAATTAGAATGAACTAATTGGTTTTATCACCAAGTAGCTCACTGAACTATGAAAAAAACCCAATACAAATGTTTCATTGCTTCACGTCAATATGACGCAAAACTCAGGATTTTCAATCACCATAATATTTATCAAAAATTCAATCCCTGTTTATATTTATTATATCATTGATTCATTTAATATATTCCTTTGCTTACCTAATTGGTCAGCTATCTTCCCTTCTGGACACGGTTTACAGTCATAGCAGCAGGATAATTTTCCTTCCACTTTTATCTTGCTATGGCCAAGAGGACACTCCTTGTTACAGATGGAAAGAGGTAATGTCTATTCAGAAATAAAATGAGAATCCACACAGATAATTTATTTTGGGGGGATTGTTCTTGTCATCAATTGTACACACACAAACTCTTCACATTTGATCCAAACATTGGTGTTGCATTTTCCAGTTTTCTTCCTGGTGTAAATTCACTACTGAATCTTCAACTGCTTCTTATTTCATACCTATTACATTAATCCATTGATCATTCCCAATAATTGTATTCTAAAGATCAGTTTGGGGCAATATACACAGAAGCTGATGTGGAAAAATCTTTAAATCTGGATCCCTTGGAGTATTCCCTCCTCGAGGTCCCGTTTTTTTGGTGCATGTCAAATCAAATCAAATATCTTTATTACAGTCTTTGACCTGGCTTTACAATAAAAAGAATACTGTGAAAAGGGTAAATACTTTAATAGAGCAAAAATATTTGGCCACCTAACATGTGAGTGTGGAGTTACCATCCCACAAAAAGCAATAAACATAAATAAAATTCATCTATGTAAAATTTGGCCTTACAAATGTAGAAACAGATAAGAAATAATGTTTTTCATCATATTCCTTTCCTCACTGATTTATTTTTAGGGAAAAGAAATACATGCATCCTCCTCTTCTTTAATGAATTTTATAGGTAGCGTGCAATCTTATTTGGAATGCTGCTGCATTATGATTAGATAATTAAATAATAGATTAGATCAGATTAGATTAGACTAGATTAGATTAAATTAGATTGGATGTAGTTTGAAATGGCATAGGGTTTCCTCCATGAGCAGGGGGTTGGACTAGAAGGCCTCCAAGGTCCCTTCCAACTTTATTATTATTATTATTATTATTATTATTATTATTATTATTATTATTATTATTATTATTATTATTATTATTATTATTAGTAGTAGTAGTAGTAGTAGTAGTAGTAGTAGTAGTAGTAGTAGTAATAGTAGTATTATGAGAGACAGAAACCTCAGCAGAAATTCTTTGTTTTTGAATGATATACTAGAATACATTTTGATACCTACATTCAATATATTGAATTTGATTTTATATATCTGTACATATATTTATGGTTTTATTTTAATATTAAAAATAAATAAATATTTGAAATATATTTCAAAAACAAAATTTCTGCAGGCTGTTTCAATGATTTAAAGAAAGCCATTTAAATTCTTGATTGTATGCAGTGATATTACTGGACTTGGAATCTCATAATTAGTTAGGTAGCTAGATAGGCAGATAAAGATTCCATCAAAAATTCTGTATTTCTTTTAGGGTTTTTTTGTAAACATTTTATTAAACATTTTAAATGGAAAATAGAAACTAACAAAGTAATAAAGAATAAAAAGAACAAGGGAAAAATGAATACACTATGATTGGTTCACACACACACACACACACAGAAAGAGAGAGAGAGAGAGAGAGAGAGAGAGAGAGAGAGAGAGAGAGAGAGAGAGAGAAACACATACATATGTGTATGAATGTATGTATGTATGTATGTATATATACACACACACACACACACATGCTTGTGTTAATTTCTAGAACTTCATCTGGACAGTTGCTATGCAATTCCTTGACAAGTTGCCAAACATCTGAATTTTGATCACATGACCATGGAGATGCTGCAATGGTTGATGGTGTGAAAAATAGTCACAAACCACTTTTTTTCAGAGTCACTGAAATTACGAACTGTCATTAAATGAACTGTTGTAAGTCAAGGACTATCTGTGATCAATAGCATATGAATTGCTAAATATTTGCTTACTCTTAGTGTTGCTGTAGTTGTGGTTATTTAATCATTTACTTTGATGGATCAGTGGCTAATAATTTCAGGAACAGGGAAAAAAGACACTCACTTTGTTAAATATGAGAGGCCATTTGGCATCTTTTTCAGATATGGTGAGGAGCTTGTCCGTAGGAGCTGTGGGGTCGATCTTTCCAATTTTGACTTTCAGAAAGGACGTGTTTGGAAATGTGACCCAATTGAAAATATCAAATCCAGTTTCTAGTTCCCCATTGGGGCCAAAAGAAACCTGTTCTCCAGCACTGTTGTTAAAGGAGACTTGTTGCAAAAAATGGTGCAGCTAAATGAAGAAGAAGAAGAAAAAAAGACACAGAAAATTATTTTGAATCTTTGAAGGAGATGGGAAAATCTCTATTTGTTTCTTTCAATTTGGTCTAGGATTAATGAAAAGTAAGCTGTTCAGGTCTGCTTCGGTCTACACCAATTTCAATCTGGTAAAGAAACATATTTTTATCAAATGCATTTTCTATTCTCTGGTGAAAACTGTCAGATGAAAATTCCAACACAAAATCAACAAAGGGAGAGATCTGAGGGATCACTTTGCTTTGATTAACCATTTCAGAAATTGTGAATTCAGTGTTCTGCCATATAGTGTAGGCAAGATAGAGAACAGCCTGGTGGTCTAGTGGTAAAAACCTTTGCCTCCCATTTGGAAGGTTAAGAGTTCAATCCTAGGAAGCCACAGATGTTTCTCAATCAGGGTGCAAAGAGAAAATATCTGTTGCAAACATTGTGCAGTGTCAGGAAAGGCATCATGCCCAGTAAACATTCAGCTCCATTCAGTTGAATAAACTTGAATTCATTGACAACTTTGCTGATCAACTGAAATAATACTATTCCTATTTTCATATATTTTTTGTCATTTTTATAATTATTATTATTCCCTTTGAATTTTAATGTCTACGGAGATTATCATTCATCCAAGTTGTGGTTGTCCCAAAAATGGTTTTTCAAAAGACAACTGGATTTTCTTTGCTTTTCTTTGAAGATGTTTCACTCAGCTTCTCTGAAAAGAAGATTTCTCAGTTTTGAACTGAAGCAACACACCTTCAAGGAAAAACAAAGGAAGTCCAGTTGCCTTTTGAAAAAGCACTTTGGGGAATCTTTGAATCTTAGTGAATCCAAAACCCATCTGATTAGGAATAATAATGCTATTCAAGGAAGCTTTTGAGTTTTTACATTTAAAATTGTCAAATATAATGGATTGAATAAGATCCCGTACATACCATTTTAGACATAAAATAAAGTTTTTATGTCACATAACTGTGTCTAGACCTAAGCCTTATATTTTCATATATTATTTTTTTTCTTTCATATAAAAATATCAAGTATTTCCATATAACTTTCAAATCCATCTTTAAAGCATTAAAACAGTTAAAACAACACAACAAAGCACAACACAAAACTGGACTCCTATGCTGGTACCTGATGATTTCCCCAAATTTTGTATTAGCCAACATTACCTGCCAGGGTGATTGGAGGAATAGCCTCCATCTCCTCTCATCCATTTTTCGACCCCCTTTATGTTTGGCAGAGCGCAAGGCCTTCAGAGCATGTGCCACAGCATAGACTGCATTGTAGATGCTATAACTATGTCCACCTATGGTGGTCTCAAATACAGAATTTGGAAGAGTCTCCAGCTTCTCTTCTCCAGTGCAGATCCTTTCACCATTCCCATCTGTAATATCACTGGAGAATGAGCATTCAAATGCATCTTTAAAGAAATCCCTAATAAAACCATCATCTTTTTCTAGGTTTGGGTTTCTCTTCTGCATAAATTGTTGGAATCCAGTCAGCTCCTTTGAGTGAATTGCAAATGAAAGGGCACCATGGAGAAAATCAATGGGCAACTGTCTTTGCATCCGAATGGAGGTGAATTCCATCTGGGCTGTCATGATCCAAACTTTGGCCTTTCTGTCATTTGGAATATCATCATAATTGAAAAGACAGATCATTAGTCTCAAAGGCACTATGCCTGTAATTTCAGCACTTAAGATGACTGCAATGACTGTACTCTTCATGATCACTTTGAATATTTTATCTGTATTTTCTATCAATTCAGCAGCTTCATTACCATACATCATTTGGGGAAGACATTCTATAAAGTCAAAGCAGATTCCTCTCTCTGAAAATATGGAAAATCTCTTTTGAATGAACCTGTCTCTATCTTCATCATACAGAGAAACGAACCCAACCCAGGTCCATCCAAAATTCAACAATAAGTGCAGTATTCCTTTAAATTGGTGATACTCATCTGGGAACATCGATTTGACAAATATTGCTGTTTCAGTATTCATCAGTGGAGCTGATCCATATGTGATCTAAAGGGAGAAAATCAGAAGAACAAAAGAATAAAGGGTATCTTCCAAAATAAAGAAAATAAAAATAAAAAGCAAATCATATATGTTGGTTTAATCCAATCTCTGGGTTTGAGTGGGATACAAAAGGAGGATGCTTAAAATTAGTTTTACGTGACATCTGCAGTTTTGCTCATCAGGTAAAAAGGGACAGCCTTATGACTTACTCATAGTTTTGCTCAAATATTTCTTTTCAATGACTGAATTTTTGAATAGAATAAATAGCTGGTGAACATCTCATATTGACCCAATTTTGTATCTCACCTGGGGAAATTTGTAGTTGCACAGAATGATTGCCATGTTGACACAGGTGTTAATACGGGCTCCTCCAATGACTGCTACTGTGTTGGTCAGGTCATTGCAATTGTAGTTGGGTATAAATTTACCTTTTGTAGATAAAAATTCCATAGCCAAATGATAAGTTGTAATTTCCTCATGATTGTCAGTAGCAATATGAAAACCAAGGCTAACATTAGGTAAAAGTCCAATTTCATTAATCTCCTTTACAGCAAATGCCAGAGCCAAAGTGTGCTGGTAATTATGAGTGATGAACCTTCAGGGAAAGTTATAAGCCGTGTCAATAAATTTCTGTTTCTGAATTGGACAGCTATTTTAATTTATACATATGTATTCAAAAAGATATAAATTAGTGCTGATTGTTTGTTCTGGACACCTGGAATTTGGTCACTATCAAATAATAGCCCTAGATTGTATCAATCAGGAAACACTACCTAGTTGTGGCCACTTAACATTGAGCAGTTAGTCAGACCCCATTTGAAATACTGTGTACAGTTTTGGTATTTGATATTTTGACCAATATCAAAAAAATATTGATAAGATTCAGCAAGTCCAGAAAAGGGCAACAAAAATGGTGCAATTTTTGAGGGACAAAATATATCAGGAAATATTAGAGGAATTGAATATATTCAGCCTAGAGGACAGAAGGAAATGACTGAAATCTTTAACTATATTCCAAGTGTGAATAAGGTTCTAGAAGGCAGTATTCTCAATATGAATTAAAATATAAAAGGATGAGGGCCTAATATCATACTGACAGAAGAGAAGTTTAAAACTATTGTTAGAAAGTATTAACTTTACAGAAAGAGTAGCAGTACCTCAGAACCCACTTCCGGAGGTGGCTGTGAATTAATCACCAGTAACTCAGTTTAATCACGGTGGGGATAAACAGATGTTCATCATTAGAAAAGAAATCTGCTATTAGTTTTCAATGTTTCTATCTGAATTCAGTATTATCTATATTTTATCTGTATTTTCTAAGGGAAGGAAGCCAGCTTCTTTTTTCATTCTAGACCTGTAATAACCTAAATTATGTGCTAAGCATTTCCTGTTTGATATATGGATGAAATAATAATTAAAAAAACCTCCTCGAGATTAACCAGGGAGCTTCTGCAATATTTAGATTAGTCCAAAGAAGGATAATATTTGTAACTCTGGGTTGAAATAAGGGATCCTTGGTGCTCTCTGAGCTTGCTAGTTTTCTTCAGACATTTCATTATCCTAACTAGGTAACATTATCAGCACTGATGATGTTACCTAGTTAGGGTAATGAATGGTCTGCAAGCAAGCTCAGAGAGCACCAAGGACTCCTCATCTGAATGTCAAGATCAGTATTAGAAAAGATTAAGTGTTTGTGCAGTCTAGAATTAAAAATGACCAAATATGGTCACTGGAACTGGTCAAACCAATTGAAGAGCAAACAATATATTTAAGCATAAAAGTGAAAGGAAATACAGCTTTTTAGTGGCAATGAGGGGGAAGAGGAGGTGTGGTGTGAAGATGAGGAGAAGTAGAAGGATACTTACAGGTATTGATCAAGGACATCAAAAGAAGGAAGGCTTTGAAAAGTGATCTCATTTGTAAGAAAGAGAACCTGATAAATAATAGCAGCGATGATTAAATCTCCAGACTGATAATATTTGTGGACAATTGGGAGAGGACTACTAAGTTTGCAGGTGCAGGGTGGAGAAATGCACATCACACTTGGGGAAAAAAGTAAAACCAATGTTCTGAATATAACCAATTCACTATAATATATAATCATTGTTGACATCAAACAGTAGCTCCTATGTTACCAGTCAACTGAAAAACTGACCATTCCTTAATATTATCTAAGGTTACAATAATGAATTTTATCTAAAGTTAAGAAAATTAAGAGTCACAGATGAAATACAAGTCCTTCTTTTCCTCCCTACATACACTTCTGTTTTTCAAACCAGATATTAATAGAATGCAATGTTTTAATCCGTGGTCATAGTTTTTACAGTGTCTGCTGGAATTCCCTTAAGATTTGTAGAAGAAGGGACAATAACTATCCTTAAATCGTAATCAGTACCATTCTTTGCAGCAGTAGTTTGAAAAATATGAGAACGAAACATGTTTATCATATCTCAATAGACATTGCTGCACTGTGATGTAACTTTGTAAATAAGACATGAAGTAGAAAATAGGGGAGTAAGACTTCATGTGCACAAAAGAAAATAAAACACCACTAGAGGAAAAAAGAATAGAAATACACCTTTGAGGTCATTTGGCTCACTAATTTTCCTTAATACTTAATAATTTGTAATACTTTGCTTTTTTAAATAAAATATTAAATTATTCTACCTTTAATGCTTCATTTAATTGATTAAATTGTATAGTTCCCAGAGCACCTCTCTGAGGAAGGTGGGAAGTAAAGAAGAGTGAAATACAAATAAATAAATAAATAAACAAACAAACAAATAAATAAATAAATAAATAAATAAACAAACAATAGCAAAATCTACCTTGAATGCAATAATATTTATTCACTCTGTAGAAGAACTTCTTTATCGAAGCATATAGAAATGGGTGCTGAATCAGTTCTGGTGGACTTATCCTTCCTCAGCTTACAGATGGAGATATTCTGAATGATTCTTCTGCTATCTTTGCTTCTCAAAATCCTGCAGCAGTCAGGAGAACATTTGTGGTACTAACCAAAGCATTCCAGCAATGACTACTTAGTTCTCTGTTGCTTCTCTCCTTGATTAGTTTCCATCTGTTGCTTCTTGTCCTGCCTTCAGGCGCTTTGGAAAATAGCTTGACTCCCTCTTCTTTGTGGTTCCTTATATGTTTTAGCCTCCAGTCCCCTAATCATCTTTCTTGCTCTTCTCTGTACTCTTTCTAGAGTCTACTACTACCACTACTACTACTACTACTACTACTACTACTACTACTAATAATAATAATAATAATAATAATAATAATAATAATAATAATAATAATAATAAAGTTGGAAGATACCTTGGAGGTCATCTAGTCCAACTCCCTCCTCAGGCAGGAACCCTACACCATTTCAGACAAAGGGCTGTCCAGTCTCTTCTTAAAAACTTCCAGTGTTGGAGCATTTAAACGCTTCTGGAGGCAGGTTGTTCCACTGGTTAATTGTTCTAATTGTCTGGAAGTTTCTCCTTAGTTCTATTTTGCTTCTCTCTTTGATTAGTTTCCATCTGTTGCTTCTTGTCCTGCCTTCAGACGCTTTGGAAAATAGCTTCACTCCCTCTTCTTTGTGGCAGCCCCTGAGATATTGGAACATGGCTATCATGTCCCCCCTCGTCCTGCTCTTCATTAAACTAGACATACCCAATTCCAGCAACCGTTCTTCATATGTTTTAGCCTGCAGTCCCCTAATCATCTTTGTTGCTCTTCTCTGTACTCTTTCTAGAGTCTCAACATCTTTTTTACATCATGGTGACCAAAACTGGATGCAGTATTCCAAGTGTGGCCTTACCAAGGCATTGTAAAGTGGTATTAATACTTCATGTGATCTTGATTCTATCCCTCTGTTAATGCAGCCCAGCACTGTGTTGGCTTTTTTGGCGGCTGCAGCACACTGCTGGCTCATATTTAAGTGATTGTCCACTAGGACTCCGAGATCCCTCTCACAGTTACTACTATTGAGCAAGGTACCCCCTATACTATACCTGTACATTTGGCTTTTCTTGCCTAAATGTAGAACCTTACTTTTTTCACCATTAAATTTCATTTTGATATATAGCGCCCAGTGTTCAAGTCTTTCCAGATACTCCTGTATCTTCAGCCTGTCTTCTGGAGTGTTGGCTATTCCTGCCAGCTTGGTGTCGTCTGCAAATTTTATGAGTTCCCCATCTATCTCCTCATCAAAATCATTGATGAAGATGTTGAAGATCACTGGGCCCATAACATAGCCCTGGGGCACCCTTCCCTCCATGTAGATGCGGTTCCATTGAGGACCACATGCTAAGTACAGTCGGTCAGCCAGCTACAAATCCATCTGGTGGTGATGCTGTCTAACCCACATTTTTCTATCTTATTGAGTAGTAGGTTGTGATCTACTTTATCAAATGCCTTACTGAAGTCCAAGTAAATTATATCCACACCATTCCTCTGATCCACTAATTTTATCACTTGGTCAAAGAATGCAATAAGATTTGTCTGGCATGATCTGTTTTTGACAAAGCCATGATTATCTTTTCCACAATCTTCCCAGTTATTGAGGTCAGGCTGATAGGTCTGTAATTTCCTGGATCCATTTTTTTTATTACTTTTTTGAAGATGGGAACTACATCAGCTCTTTTCCAGTCCTCTGGTAATTCCCCAGTGCTCCAGGATCTTTGAAAGATATAGTTCAGTGGTTCTGAGATCACATCTGCCAGTTTCTTCAGAACCTTGGCATGTAATCCATCTGGTCCTGGTGATTTGAACTTATCTAGGCTGGACAGGTGCTCACTTACTATTTTCTTGCCTATCTTAACTTTTGTTTCTATTCTGTTTTTTATGGCACTATTTTTGATAGGTTGGTCTGTTTTTTCCCGTTGTGTAAAGACAGATGCAAAAAATGAGTTAAATAGTTCTGCTTTCTCCCTATTGCTTGTCACCTTCTTGCCACTTTCACCCACTAATGGACCAATCATTTCCTTCACTTTTTTTTGTTTTTTTACATGTTGAAAGAAGCTTTTTTTTGTTATTTTTGACTTTGGTTGCAAGCCTTAGTTCATTATGAGCCTTAGCTTTCCTCACTTCATCTTTGCATACTCGGGCTATTTGTTGATATTCTGCCTTAGTTATGTGCCCCTCTTTCCACTTTCTATACTTGTCCTTTTATCTTTCAATTTATCAGAGAGTTCTTTATGCAGCCATGCTGGTTTCTTTTGAGAGCTGTTATTTTTCCTCTTTGTTGGTATTGTGCAAGACTTGGCTTTTATTATCTCACTTTTCAAAATTTCCCAAGTTTCTTGAGTGGTTTTCCCCTTAGGATTCTCATCAATGGAATCCTTCCCAAGCCCTCTCTACGTTTATTGATATTAGCTCTCTTGAAGTCCAAGACTCTAGTTTGACTGTGTTCTATTGCTTGTGCATTTTTGAACAAATAAGTCAAAAAATATATTCTTGTTCTTTTATTTATTGAGGAGTGCTAATCCATAGAGTGGCTGAGGGTCAGACATGACTGAATGGCAGACTATGACAATGATAGTGTATGGATAAACATAGATACAGATGAACGCAACAAGGAATTGGATGTCTACAATTATTGCCTTAACTACCAAGCTAAAGCTTATCATCCACCAAGCATTATCAATGCTCACTTTATGTACTAATCTCCGTAGGGGAGAATTAGATGTCATCCAAGGCTCAGGAATAATAGTGACATCAAAAGTAAAGAAGTCACCAATGGTGGGACAGTAGTCTTCATGAATAAGACTACTTTCTCAGGGAGGCTGAGAAGAAGATCTCCAAGATCATAAACTTCAAATACCTCTCCCCAGGTTATAGAAAAACAGCCCTCCTAGGCCAGAGGTAGGCAACCTTGGCTCTTTTATGACTCATGGATTTCAACTCCCAGAATTCTGGCTGTTGAAGTCCACGAGTCATAAAAGAGCCAAGGTTGCCTACCCCTGGCCTAGGCTTTTATGACTAATGGAGAACAAGAACATCAAGTCCTCTTGTTTCTGGCCTAGCACCTCCCCTGCTATAGCAAAGTGGCTCTCAGACTTTCAGAAATGTGGAAAGGGATGTTTCTATACCTTGAAATGATTAAGGGGAACATTGGGAGATCTTGAAGTGGCAAAAAAGACACTTTTTATTATTACTATCTTGAAACACACAGAAAGTTGACAAGCATTTGGTTTCACATTTACCAGGGATGATTTTAGTGTAATGAGTCATATGAAGTAGATATTTTCTTTCTTTTTGGAAGAAATATGGTGTAGGCCATGGGCTTCAGGATTTAAATCCATTCATTTTTACATTAATGCACATTATATCACTAAAATATTTTTAATATTTCTTGATTAGCTATCACTTACTATTCTGATTAGTAATTATATAACATTTCAAAGAAAAGATGCAGAGCAGTTCTATAGCTTGTTAAATGAACTTTTCAGTGCAATTGCTTTTTATGTCATATTGATGTAATGATGGAGGGAAGAATGCAGAATCTCAAGCTGGGGGAAAGAAAATATGTAGGTTTAAAGTAACCAATTTGGCTTTATTCAAAGGATTTTGCGATTAAAATCAGTTTCATTTTTTCATTAGCTGCTTCTTCTTGTTCAGATCAGGTCTCAGAATAATAATATAGCATTTTGGGGAAAAGATGCAACCCAGTAATCCAGCTGCTGAAGCCAAAATGGAGAAGATCTCTACAGCCACCATATATTTCCCCTTGGTGCTCAGATACGTTGGAACAAATGACACCCAAACACTGCAAAAGACCAACATGCTGAAAGTGATAAACTTTGCTTCATTAAAGCTGTCAGGTAGATTCCTAGCTANAAAACCCCAAAAAGGAAAGGACTGTATAAAACATGGTGGTTGAACCTTCATTACATTGCAGAACAATTTCTTCAGCCATGGAGTGCATGTCAGAATCTGGGAAAGGAGGAGAAATTGCCAGCCACACTATACAAATGTTGAATTGAGCCAGGAAGCAAGTTAAGATAATAGTAGTGGCCATCTTTTTTCCAACCCATTTTCTAATTT